GGTAGGGGGGGGGGGCGATTAAGGTTAAGACCAGGAGGGATATGATTTTGGCGATATAAAAGATTAGTTCTGACGACTTATAAATGACTTTTATACTGCATGTAATTAATATTATTACCCATCAATTTTTAAAAAAACTCGTCTGTTAACAAACCGTCCAATTGCGGGTTTATAATAACCAACAAAATATGATCGTCGGTTAATATTTGTTTATAACTGATGATATCATGCATCAATTATAATAAAAGTTGTTGAAAAAAATATTACTGTCCAATTGCGGGTTTATAATAACTAACAAAATATGGTCGTCGGTTAATATTTGTTTATAACTGATGGTATCATGCATCAATTATAATAAAAGTTGTTGAAAAAAATATTACTGTCCAATTGCGGGTTTATAATAACCAACAAAATATGACCGTCGGTTAATATTTGTTTATAACTGATGGTATTATGCATCAATTATAATAAAAGTTGTTGAAAAAAATATTACTGTCGCTAAACGACGACATGTCCTGTAGTTATGTCATTGCAAATAACACAACTCATAAATCGTCGTTATGTCGTCTGCCGTCAGAAAATAGAGCATTTTTTTCCCGAAGTATATTTAAGTCGTCGATTTTAACTCTTTTTCTTATAGTGTATTTAAGATTATCGACTTGTCAAAGTAAGATATCAAGGAATATATTGTCGACTTCTCTCTAATCGACGTCATAATCACGAGTCATTGTTTGCTAATGTCAAATATTAAAAACATGGCGACCATCCCTTATCTACGAGCGATGTGGCTGAATCCCTAGTGTCGAGTGGTGCCATTAAAAGAGAGATTGACAAATGTCCTGGTTAATCATGATGACTTTCTCGAATTGATATCTTCATAGAGATATGATTAGATATCCTTCTTAAGGAAGACGAATGTGAGCTGATTAGCTACTTCGGCGTGTGAGCTTGATTCAAACACTTCTATAGGTGGGCTTAATTCAACCATTTTGACAAGTGAGCTTGATTTCAAAAGATAAGAATCACATTAAAATTTTTTGTTTACAAGTATTTAGGTATACAATACCAATTAGCCATTCAAAAGGGAGATTAATTGTGGGTTAAAATCATATAATCATCATTATCATCCAAAGGAAGATTCACGTGTTTGTTAAAATCACGTGATCATCTAACCATAGAATCAATAAAAATATTAATTTTCAGAACTCAAAAAGATATATTCGAAAAACACAACAAAGGACAAAATTTGTGTTCATATGTCGGTACCTCCACATAACAATCTCTTAATTTTTCTAAGCCACATAATATTTAGTTCTAAAAAAGATGCATTTTTTACTGAAAAGTTGGCTCCTTGCCATCTGCCGTTTGGTTTCTACGAGATTCAATCCCCCAATATCGGACGAGTCACCGAAAGGAGTCCGCCACGGCTAAATCACGGCCGCGTCAACGAAGCCATTACAACCACTCAGGCGAGATCCCTCGCCATCTCTATCTACCACGCGCCATCTCTCTTCTGTCACCATGTGAAGAATATGCTGTTTTCATGAGAAAGGATTTGACGGATGACCTCAGCTTAAGGTTTCTTTCTTCTATATTACCAGCTCCTTCTTTCCGCGGATCGAATTCTTCCGCGGGAGCCGGCAATCTTTGAAGGGGTTTCTGATTCATATCGTGGAGGTTTTTAAAAAAATCTAGCATCCGGAGTCCTGTTTTCTTTCCCCGGTTCGATTCTAAGCGTTTTCGGATCGCAGGAGTTGGCGATTTTATAACTGGTAAACTGGAAGTGCAATTTTTTGTCTTCTGCTGGAAAATGGAAGGACAATGCTGTGTGATTATTTGTCTTTATTTGGCTTGTTAGAATGAATTCGTTACTAGAAATTTTCGTTTTACATGTGGGCGGAGGAATGGTTGTTTGTTGGTAGAAAAGAGAAGATCGGAATGGCTTTGAAAGAAAATTTTGCTTTTATTACTGAAGCGGTCTTTTGGTTGGAGCATAATTTTGACACAAAATCATGCCTTTTAGGGTTTGGTGCTGCAAAAATGGATTACAGAAATTTGGATATCTTTTGGGCTGGTTTTAGCCAATGAAGTATTGTTATGGTTTCTTTAGGAAAATTACATATATACCAAACAATTCTTATGTATTTACATGTTTGACATCCAAAGTTTGTATATTTTAAGAATAGTTATTTCCATTGCAATTGTTTTGCAAGATGCCTCACAGCTCTGGCCTAGAAAAAGGGTCTAGTAACTCTGCCAGACAGGAGAAGTGGAAAACCATTATTAGGCTGAGAAAAGTATGAGATAGCTATTGTTACTAATAAGTTAACTGCTAAACACGATTCATAATCCCATAGTTAAGAATTAATCCATAAATGAAGAAGCTTGGCTGCATTAATGGCATAGCATGAGTATTTGATATGAAATTAATTTTATTGAATTTTCAATCTATGATATCTTTATTCTGTACTTGGGCACTTAAGTCTGTCTACTGGGGCACCTTTTTATTTTTCTAGATTCTAATTTGGTGTACCTAATTAAACTTGCATTGTTTTAATATTTAATTTTTTATTTTATTTTATTTTATATTTTCCTACACGTGCAAAGCATGTGAGATCTTTATATTTGCTATGATATGTTAGGTTTTGGGTGATGGAAAAATTTTGAAATTGTTTATATTTAAGCTTCTATGCATGGCTATTGCGTCCCTCTAATCCCATGTGCTGCTTTCATCTTCATTATAGAGACTTGCTTATTCAGCTTCAAGATGGTTAACTTTGGCAAGAAATTGATGAAGGATCAAATTCCAGAGTGGAAAAGGTATACTTTCTGTTGTTATCTATTAAGCAATTAATATATATATATATATATATAATTGAAAGTCAGCAAAAAAATTAACCTTTCATTGTGCTAGTTGTTATTCTAGTTTTCTAAAGCAGAATTTTGAATCAGATGTCATTTTCTCCCGAGGTTGGGGAAGATTCGATTTCATATGTCGAAGCTTTTAGACCATAAGAATTTTGCTGGGGATGGCTTGGGTAGAGGTGTATGCTAGGAAACTTAGGATATGACTAGGGTTGAGCTAGCTCTGATACCAAATGATATCGGATGAAGACCCAAACCCCCAATGAAAGAGCACAATTATTATTATTGAATTCAAAATGGTACAAATGACTCTTTCGACATGAAATAATGACAACAAACAACAACACTAACATAAAAACATAACATACAGACTCCAATAAGGGTAACGGTAGCAGGTGGGGATGTTGGCGGCAGCAGGTGGGGTTGTTGGCGGCAGCAAAGAGAGGGAACTAGGGCCAGTGGTAGGAAACAGGAGAAGGGACAACAGGTTTGACTGCAGAAAAGGGGGAGCAGCAAGTAAACGATTGTTGGAAAGCATAGGGGTCGACTGGCTCGATGATGGAGGTGAGTTAGAGGGGAACAGTAAGCTGACAACCTATGAGAAGGTGTGGAGGAAGGCTGGCAGTTGTTGAAGGCGAGTCAAAGGGAGGGCACCAAGCTGGCGACTGTTGGATTGCATAGGAGAGGGGGCTGCAAAAAGATAAATGTCTCGTCGGGGTCTAGTTATAGTCGGAGCATAAGAATAGTTATTTCCATTGCAATTGTTTTGCAAGATGCCTCACAGCTCTGGCCTAGAAAAAGGGTCTAGTAACTCTGCCAGACAGGAGAAGTGGAAAACCATTATTAGGCTGAGAAAAGTATGAGATAGCTATTGTTACTAATAAGTTAACTGCTAAACACGATTCATAATCCCATAGTTAAGAATTAATCCATAAATGAAGAAGCTTGGCTGCATTAATGGCATAGCATGAGTATTTGATATGAAATTAATTTTATTGAATTTTCAATCTATGATATCTTTATTCTGTACTTGGGCACTTAAGTCTGTCTACTGGGGCACCTTTTTATTTTTCTAGATTCTAATTTGGTGTACCTAATTAAACTTGCATTGTTTTAATATTTAATTTTTTATTTTATTTTATTTTATATTTTCCTACACGTGCAAAGCATGTGAGATCTTTATATTTGCTATGATATGTTAGGTTTTGGGTGATGGAAAAATTTTGAAATTGTTTATATTTAAGCTTCTATGCATGGCTATTGCGTCCCTCTAATCCCATGTGCTGCTTTCATCTTCATTATAGAGACTTGCTTATTCAGCTTCAAGATGGTTAACTTTGGCAAGAAATTGATGAAGGATCAAATTCCAGAGTGGAAAAGGTATACTTTCTGTTGTTATCTATTAAGCAATTAATATATATATATATATATATAATTGAAAGTCAGCAAAAAAATTAACCTTTCATTGTGCTAGTTGTTATTCTAGTTTTCTAAAGCAGAATTTTGAATCAGATGTCATTTTCTCCCGAGGTTGGGGAAGATTCGATTTCATATGTCGAAGCTTTTAGACCATAAGAATTTTGCTGGGGATGGCTTGGGTAGAGGTGTATGCTAGGAAACTTAGGATATGACTAGGGTTGAGCTAGCTCTGATACCAAATGATATCGGATGAAGACCCAAACCCCCAATGAAAGAGCACAATTATTATTATTGAATTCAAAATGGTACAAATGACTCTTTCGACATGAAATAATGACAACAAACAACAACACTAACATAAAAACATAACATACAGACTCCAATAAGGGTAACGGTAGCAGGTGGGGATGTTGGCGGCAGCAGGTGGGGTTGTTGGCGGCAGCAAAGAGAGGGAACTAGGGCCAGTGGTAGGAAACAGGAGAAGGGACAACAGGTTTGACTGCAGAAAAGGGGGAGCAGCAAGTAAACGATTGTTGGAAAGCATAGGGGTCGACTGGCTCGATGATGGAGGTGAGTTAGAGGGGAACAGTAAGCTGACAACCTATGAGAAGGTGTGGAGGAAGGCTGGCAGTTGTTGAAGGCGAGTCAAAGGGAGGGCACCAAGCTGGCGACTGTTGGATTGCATAGGAGAGGGGGCTGCAAAAAGATAAATGTCTCGTCGGGGTCTAGTTATAGTCGGAGCACCACCCATACCCTTGGAAACTGTCACCATCTCAAACGAGTTACAGTTGAAGCACCGTCTCTTCGTCAGAAACAACCCCCGAAGAACAAGAACTCCACAAAGACAGTACTCAGAAATCTGCCATAATAAAACCTCCTCCTAACCTCAGACAACAGCACCTATATAAAAAGGGATTTGAAGATAAAATAGGTAAAAAGTAGGATAAAAAAAAGATATGATAGGCAAGGCGAGCAATAGGAAAGAAGTATGAAGGAAAGGAATTATAATGGAAAAGCATCAGGAAAGGACTAGTTCTGATACCAAATGATACCAGAGGATGACTCAAACTACCATGAAAAAACACAATTTTTATCACTAAATTCAAATGGCATAAATGACTCTTGCTGCATGAAATAACGAGACTAGTTCTGATACCAAATGATACCAGATGATGACTCAAACTATCATGAAAAAACACAATTTTTATTACTAAATTCAAAATGGCATAAATGACTCTTGCTGCATGAAATAACGACAACAAACAACAACAGAAACATAAAAACATGACACATAGACTCAGAATGTGACTATAGTAGGTGGGGATGTCGATTGCAATAGGGAGAAGGAACTAGGGTCAGCGGTAGGGAAACAGAGGAGGGGAACAACAAGCTGATAGCCTGTAGGTTGAACAACAGCCAGAGCACCACCCGAACCCTTGGAGACGATCACCACCTCGAATGAATTACAGCCAGATCATCTACTCACCGTCTGATACAACCTCTAGAGGGGATGAACGCCTCTTAGGCAACACTCAGAAATCTGCAATCATAAAACCCCCTCCTAACCTCAGAAAACAACAGCTATATAAAGAGAGGATGAGTAGATAACATAGGTAAAGGGTAGGATAGGAAAGATATATAATAGGCAAGGAGAGGAATAGGAAAGAAGTAGAGAAGCAATGAAATTATAATGGGAAAGCATTATAATTTCCTGTAAGGTCGAGGTCGAGCTACAACCTTAGCACCAACTAAACGCGGTTAATTTAGCAGTTACAGTACCACAGGCGGTAAGCTCTCGCACCATTGGGTCTTGTCTATCTTTTTATGAATTGTTACCTGCCGACCATTCGATCATATTATGATGATTTAATCACGGTTAATTTAGCAGTTACAGTACCACAGGAGGTAAGCTCTCGCACCATTGAGTCTTGTCTATCTTTTTATGAATTGTTGTCTGCCGACCATTCGATCATATTATGATGATTTAATCCACCGACAATAAATTTTAAGTGAATGACTAGGTTTTGTAGTTCCTGTGACGGACAAAATTAGAGAAAGTCGTCTTAGATGGTTTGGTCACCTTAGACGTCGACCATTTGATGATCCGATTAGGAGAGTAGATGTTGTAGGTTCGACTTGTGTTAATAAAGGCAGAGGTAGATCTAGGAAGACTTGGGCTTATTGTATAAAAAATGATCTTAATTAGTTTTTGTTATATACATTATTTTACTCATCTTCTAATGTTTAAATGCTATGTTTTTGTTATATGCATTATTTTACTCATCTTCTAATGTTTAAATGCTATGCTTCATTTTGGTCTATTTCATTAATGTTTGCAGATGCTACATTAACTACAAGCTAATGAAAAAGAGAGTGAGACAATATGCTGAACAAATTCAGAATGGTGGGGACCGTCGCCAATTTCTTAAAGAATTTTCGAGGATGCTAGATGATCAGGTGTGTGATGTTTTAAAAGTAGTTTTACAAATAAAATTATATAGGATGAAATATTTTTTTCTTTTGTTTGTATATCACATGCATATCAAATTTTAAACTTGCTATTTTTGGGCACACAACTAAGTGCTGAAATGAGAACCATGTTGACTATATTATCTTTAAATTATATTGCATGACTGTCACAAGATTAGATTTAATATTATATGTGATTTTAGACCTATACTTATTCTCTATTGCACCTAACTTGCTTAAAAAGATTTTCTTACAGTTTTTATATGAAGCTGACAATCTGCACTAAATGAATGCTAATAATTCATATCTATGTTATAGGGAGTTGGCACACAGTTCACTGGAGAAGAAAATTTGTTTTTTTTTTTCTTATTCATTTTTTTTGGTTTTGGGTTCTAAAGCTTCCACAATTCTGATCAATATTGTTAATCTCTTTCTATTTTATTGAAAATAGGCAGGGACTAACTTTCAATAAGTTTCTAGACTTCTGTGTTGAAAATCAATAAAATTAAAAATCAATTCTAAAGAGCAAAACTAATACTGAATAAAATATTCTTTTTTTTCTATATCACATGCATATCAAATTGAATTAAACTTTACATAAAAGTCTTATTTTAAATGTTGAAGAGTGGAAGTGCGCTTCAATTTCCATACAGATTTTATTTTGGTCATGAACTTTATGTTATCTGTTTTTTGTTTTGTTTCTGAATTGGGAGCGATAAATTGCAGTGTGTGTGATTTAAGGGGCATTTACACACATAGCACACAATTCTTTTGTATTTGCATATCTCACACCTAAACTTTAATATTTACACACAACACTTAAATCTTCAACATCACATCAAAAATAACACTAATCACTTTTTAAAAGTGAAATAAACATTTTCAGGTTTGGTTTGAGATATGTAAATGCATAAGAATTGTGGGTTATGTATGTAAATTTCCCTAAATTTAATGCCCAAACAAATCTTCATAAAGGGTATGAGTTCTGTTCCCAAGATAAATTAGCAGCACGGATCAATATCAATAGTTTTGGTTTTCAATTTTTTGTTTCCATGATCATTGTGAACTTCAACCTAATTTTGTTAAAAGGACCGGACTTTGAGAAAAATCAACTTCATATAACTTTTCTCAGCTTTTATGTTCTGATGTGTTATCCTTCAGATTGAAAAGATTGTACTCTTTTTACTGGAACAACAAGGACTTCTTGCTAGTAGGATTGAACAATTGGCGGAGCAACGTGCTAATCTTTCAGAACAGCCCGACTTTTCAAAGATATTGGAACTTACGGAAGCATATAAGGAAGTTGGATATGATCTCGTAAAACTTCTTAAATTTGTTGATCTTAATGCTACTGGCATTCGCAAGATTTTGAAGAAGTTCGACAAACGATTTGGGCATAGATTTACAGATTATTATGTGACCTCGCGGGCAAATCATCCATACTCTCAACTGCAACAAGTCTTCAAACATGTGGTATGTTTATAATTCTCATTCTCACATTTTTATCCCTTTTGTGGAAATGTTTTTTATAATTGATGTATTATTTTTGATATAAACTATTAGGGACTGGGGGCTATTGTTGGTGCCCTTTCTCGTAATCTTGCCGATCTTCAGTATCGTCAGGGAAGTTATCTATCCATCTATGATCAGCCATCAGATGCTCTAAAGGTTTGTTCTCCTAATCTATCCTAATGCTATAGGAATTATGTTGTTATTTGGTTCTTCGAAGATTTACATATATACCACTCAAATCCTATGTAATTACCTATCTTACACTTAAACTTCAATGTTCCACCTTAATTATGCATGAAAAGGTGTATTCGCCTAGGCCATTTTGTAATTGTTATCTTTTTCTTTAATGCAAAATGCAATATTTCAAGAAAAGGTGTATTAATATTTTAGAAGTTAAAAGTAGTGATAATTTTAATGAGAGATGAAAGATTTGGATGGTATTAATGTAAAAATCATAGTTTTGGTGTGTAAATGACCTGGTTCTTTGATTTGTTTTTCTTTATTATTTGCTTCAAAGAACTCTTTTTTTCACTTTTGCAGGATCCTATTATTGATTTGATAAATGCGTCAGTAGATAAGCTAACAAATTCGACAAATTTCCTTAAATTTTTGGGACAACATGCTCTTATTATACAAGAAGAGATACCTAGCTCAGGAGAAGAAGAAGTTGTTGAAACAAAATATCATTTTGCTTCGCTCCTCTTAAACCTGTCAAATACTTTTCTTTATATGGTAAATACATATATAATTGTCCCAACTGCTGACAATTACTCCATAAAACTTGGAGCTGCTCCCACAGTTTGTGGAATCATAATCGGGTCAATGGCTGTTGCGCAAGTATTTTCTTCTGTTTATTTCAGTGCCTGGTCAAATAGATCGTACTTCAAACCGCTTGTTTTCAGCAGTATTGTACTGTTTTTGGGTAATATTTTGTATGCGTTGGCTTACGACATGGAGTCTTTAACGGTGCTGCTTGTTGGCCGACTACTCTGTGGGTAAGTCAATTTCGTAATTTCAGCTTTTTAAGAGAAATATCTCATCTGAGATTTTTTTTATCATTTAGATTTCTGGCTATATATATATATATATATATATATATATATTTGGTGATAAACCATGCCACTACTTTTATGTAGAGAAAAATTTTTATGGAAATTTTATTAGTGAAAAATAATCTAAATATGAGAGGATTATGAATTAGGTGCCATCACTCATCTGAGTCTAAAATCATTGCATTTTGAATTATACCTCTGAATTCTTATGTTTTTTTTTTAAATTACTAGTGGTAAAATTAACCTCTAAAGTAAAGCTTAATGAATTTAATTTTTTTAATGCTAGATAACAAGTTTTTGATGCACCTACTTAAATTGTATTAATCTTTTGCCTGAATGCAACATCTTTGGTATTTTTCTTACTGTGATTTTCTAAGCTCAACTTGTCATTTTTGTTTTTGGGCATCTAATGTTAAAGCAAAATCTTGTGATCTATGCTTATGATTTTCAAATTTCTTGAATGTTTGATTTATCTTTGTTCTTTCGCTTTTCAAATTGTGCATAATCAATAATTTTTTTTCCTTTTCAATGCAATAATTCTATTACTTAGTTTTTCTAGATGACAGTTTTTACTATTCAAATTTATAATTTGATTAAGAAATAATTCTAGAATCATAGAAGCCTACACATTCTTTGATGCCCATGGACAGTTGCAGTAATTAGATATTGCAATTTTGATGTTATATTAAATTCATTTAGTGCGAGTAATCATGGAATTTTTTAGTATTAAATTATGATTTTTTTTAATATTTACTGGATTCAACATGTAAACTTGCCATTTTTGATGTTTTTAAATTCTGTGCATTGCAGTCTGGGTTCAGCAAGAGCTGTAAATCGGCGGTATATTAGTGATTGCGTGCCTGTAAAGATTCGCATGCAAGCTTCGGCTGGATTTGTTAGTGCCAGTGCTCTTGGAATGGCTTGTGGACCTGCCATTGCTGGCTTGCTTCAAACTAATTTCAAGATCTATTCTCTGTCTATTAATCAAAACACACTACCTGGTTGGGTTATGGCGTTTGCTTGGCTGATTTATCTGATATGGTTATGGATTTCATTCAAAGAGCCAAATCATGATATTAAAGAGAAGATGGCGCCGCAGGATAATACTGCTGGTATGTGAAATGTTCTTCAAATTTATTTTGTTTTAGATTATGCATAGGTCTGTGTGTAGCTCTGAATTTTATGTTGGATTCATCATTTTCTCGGTTAATGCCATCGAAATATTTTGTTCAAGTGATCTTTTGTGTGGCAATATATTATTCTATTGGGTCATTTGCACACATAGCGCACAATTCTTATGTATTTGCATATCTCACACCTAAACTTTCTTATATTCACAGTTATATGCATATTACATAAAAAATAGTACCATTATTACATTTTAAAACTTTCTTATATTCGCACATTGCACTTAAACCTTTAATATTACATAAAAAATAGTACCATTATTACATTTTAACTGTGAAATACACAGTTATATGCATCGGCTTAAAGCTGCTAAGTGCTATGTGTGTAAATATGAAAGTTTAGGTTTGAGATATGTAAATAAATAAGAATTGTGTGCTACGTTTGTAAATTTTCTTATTCTATTTCTTTAGTAGCAATATCAATTTTTTTTATACTTAATTCCTTGCTTTACTATTTAGATTCCTTATAAAAGTTGGTATTGGCTTCAGGGTTTAAAAATATATACTTAAAAAAATCCGTAGGACATGGATGTATAATTTTTATCATTTGTTGTTTTGAATGAATTTCCTTGGCTTATATTGTTGTATAGATGTTACTTGCAATCAAACTAATTAAGTCTCTACCAAGTCAAAGTGCAGTAGAATCATCATGGTCAAACTGATCTTTGATCATCAGATTCTTCTTCAAATTGATCTGAGTCATTTGCCAATTTAGTGTAAATATAATGACACATTATTGTTTGTCTTATTAGTTTGAACTATTCTTAATAAATATTACTCTATTTATATAAACCTTAGGCATATGAGGGAGCATGGAATGAATATAAAATATGAGATTTTCTCTGTTATCTCTCATTTTATCTTCTCCTATATTCCTCTAATTTTATGTTGCAATTCTTCGTGTCTTCTTTTATCCTCAGTTTCTTCCGACTTAATATTTGTTCTTTTTAACATTATTATGATGAGAGCTATCATAAGGCCTATTTTTTAATTATGATACTTATGATTCTGAGTCTTCAAAACATACAAAGGGCAAATTATATGGTTGATATCATTGCCATTATTGATCATACTATGATGATCATGTGTATTCTTATCATTGATATTATGATCCTGATAGATTTAATTATTAATTGAATGTGATCGTGGTTTATAGATGTCATCCTTGTACTTAGACCATGCTAATCATAATCATTCTAATTTTGTTTGGTTTATTTTGGATCTCTTTTGACAAGGCTATCAAACATGTTTGAACGCAAAAAACCAAAATACATTGTTGCAAATCATATCATGTTCCTATTAAGTTTGTGCCATAGATTTGTTGTTAGTGTCATCAGGAATCGGGTCTTGAAACTTATTGTTTTATTTGTTACGAGATGTTGGAAGCTTAAGAGCTTTTTTTGGGTTCAATTTCATTTATTGTTTTTTTTTTAATTTTTAAAAACATGTTTGTTTAGTTTTTTTTTAAAAAAAAATAAATTAAGATGTCTTTGAAACACACAAATTAGTTTGTTTGGTGTTTTCATTGTTATTAAAAACAGCCATACTTTACTCAATTAGCCAAATATATTTTGTTTCAAATCCAAACATATACAAAACAAAAAGGAGAAAATAGAAACAAAAGTGATCCCCAAAGTGCTCCCAAGATATTACCAGTTTGACTTGGTTGTAACATAGGTTGACATGTAAAACGTTTACTTTTGTGTTGGTCAAAATCATCATATGCATTGATGTGCTTGTTTTTCTTCTATTTGAAAGACTGAAGCTTTGTTGTTAGGTTTATGCTGGTTTTATTAGCCACAACAAACTATAAGTATAGATTAGATAGGCATTGTTAACAAACCCGCTATGTTGAAATGATAAATATTACACTTCAGTTTTTGCAGCGCTAATCTGAGCAGAAGAAAAATAAGTTGGCAAGATAAGTTCTCACAAAAACATTTTTTTTACTGTGTAATGCTCATGCTAATGCTTCGAATAATAGGGCATGTTGGCATAGGGGAAATGGAAAGGGGTCTTGCTCATCCTCTGCTATTACATTCGGAAGATAAAGAAAATGACGGCGGAGATGAATTTGATGATAGTGAAGAGGCTCCAGAGGACTCTCGCGCGCCGGCAAATTCCATTGTTTCAGCTTACAGGCTCCTTACACCATCAGTAAAGGTTTGTTGTTCTTTTAACTTCAATAATCGATCTTATGAGAGATTATTTAACTTAGTAAGTAGTATGGTAGCCTACTTATCAAAGGAATATTTGTGTTCTAGAGGTCATAAAAAAGATATAATTATTGCAATTAGATCTACATGGTTTTTTTTTTGTCATGCTGATTATTTTCATGCTTTTTCAATTATGGGATTTGATATACAACACCTAAACATTTATATTTACATGCACATACAACCCAATTCTTATTTATTTACATATACAACACCTAAACATTCATATTTACATGCATATCACTTAAATTTTCAAAATCACATCAAAATTACCATTATCACTACACCTTGTTAATTATCATGCAGAGATTTATGACACCAATTTATTAGAAGTGTAATTGGTGTCATAAGTGTAAATATCAAACTTTAGGTGTTAGATATGTAAATACATAATGTGGCATGTATGTAAATCTTTGCAATTAGATTATATGCAGAAGCATTAATATCATGACTAAAATGTAACTAAGCATAAACCTATTCTTCAAGACATTCTTTTTAAACTTAATTTTTTATATTTATTTGCTGTCTTCAGGTTCAACTATTGATCTACTTCATGCTCAAGTTTGGAATGGAGATTTTGCTGTCAGAATCAAGTGTCATCACTGAATATTATTTCAATTGGACTACCAGTTCTGTCGCCATATTCCTTGCAATACTTGGGCTCACGGTTCTTCCTGTAAATGCCATTGTGGGAAGTTACATATCCAACTTGTTTGAAGACAGGTAAATAAATAAATTTCATGCTGAGATGATTAAACTTGCTGCTAGAATCCACTGTCTTTGCTTTTTTATTATCATTAATGGAACATGTTGAATAGATTTCCAACAAAATTTGATACTTTTTTAAAAAATCATGAAGTAATTAGTTATGACAAACTGATTCCATTCATCGTCCCTCTTTTCTCGAAAGATCGAGTTTTTGATCTTCAACATCCTGACCAGCTTTGCGTCTAATATATCCCATAAGATTTCTTAATCCAATTCCTTGTTAATTCCTAAACAATTTTTTTTACAGGAAAATCTTACTGGCATCTGAGATTATGATGTTAGTCGGCATAGCCTTAAGCTTCCATGTCACCAGCTCATATACAGTGGCTCAATACGTCTCATCTGCACTCATCACATTTGTATCCGCAGAAGTACTTGAAGGTAAATAAATAATTGTCTCAAATTACAAAGTTATCTCATGCTTCCATCATTCAAAGTAAAAATACGAGTCAAGTGTCAAATTCTATTTACATGGTATCATTTTTGTCCCAAAGTCCATAAAAGTGAACAAATAATTTCATACTCTTCTTAACATGAGTTGAAATAGTAACCAGAAACGACTGAAATGGATTATGTGAACGGCTTTGTTTTGAACTGTGCTCTCATCTCTGTCAACTACAGGTGTTAACTTATCCCTCCTGTCGCAAGTGATGTCGTCTCGGCTTGCTCGAGGAACCTACAATGGCGGGCTTCTGTCGACAGAGGCCGGAACGTTGGCTCGAGTCGTTGCAGATGGCACGATAACGTTGGCTGGATACTGGGGCGAAAGCAGGCTTCTGAATACCACTCTTCTCCCTTCTTTATTGATTTGCATTGTCTCTATTGCTGCCACATTCCTTACCTTCAACTCTCTCTTTTAAAGAGAGACAAACTATATTTCTTGGCTTGTTTTATGATGTTGGCTTTGGCTGTATATAGAGAATTAAGCCAGCCAATTCATTTGATTTATTTTATTTAAAAAATGTAGCTTCTAAATTTTGTGATCAACATGGTTTCATTGCGCGCTCGAATGTGCGGCCCATTGGTTAGAAATAAAGTGAAGAATTTTCACGTCATTTTGTTAAAGCTTAGAGTAATTATTTGGATGTGCTTTATAGCCATCATATTTGTTTTATGATAAGTAGAATAAATTGACTTGTTAATGATGTAATGGAGTCGAGTCGGGTTGAGCTGAGTCTATTGTGTATTGGATTTGGCTTGATGCGTAGGGCTGCAATGGAGTCGAGTCGAGTTGAGCTGAGTCTATTGTGTATTGGATTTGGCTTGATAATATTATAAGTTATGTTTGTTCAGCTTGAATTTGTGTCGAGGATTAACATGTATGTTCAAGATTAGTTTGTTTATGTTTTTTAATATTTGATAAGCACCATAAAAATGAGAAATGAGTATCTGAATTTTTATATAAAAATTTTCAACTAAATAAATAACTATACAAATTTAAATAAATAAGTAATTGAAGAAATTTTGAATGAGTATTTGTTTATTTTACATAAATTAAACAAAAAAAATATAAATTCGTTGTTGGTAATTTTTTTGTAATTAAATAATATAAATAAGTATTAAGAAGTTAAATTCATTGAAATTTAAAATTTAATATTAAATTTTATAATATTTTTAAATGCTTATATGAAATTTATTATTTAAATAAAGATGTCCAAGAAAATGATAAAATGCACAATTTTTTAAGACGTGGCATGTTATACGTACCGAATTTTGAATGTCTTTGTCTAAAAATGTGGACGACAACATGGATCGCACCATACCGTGTATGTATCCCAAGTTGTCGACCGCCACGTCCAACATTGCACTATATTCTCTTGAATTAAACCCTAGTTTCTTTTAGTCAACAATCTCATATTTTAGAGGAAGTTCATTTTTATGTTTTTGAAGTTTATGATATATTGCATTATTATATGTGTGATTATTGAACCCTAATGATTTTCATAATGCAATATAGAAGTACCTAGAAGCTAAATATAATTCACTTCTTACATGATTATGTAGCCTTTAATAGACACTACCAACATGCCTATAAACCTTTGCCCCCATAGGCATGATTTTGTATGTTGTTTTTTCCTTAAAAAGGGGCACTTACATACATACCATTCAATTCATATGTATTTACATATATAACCCTAAACTTTGCTTTTTAATATATATCACTCAATTCTTTCATAATACATTAAAAAAATAATTATTTTATTCCTTGAATTCATTGAAATTTAAAAATTTATATTGAATTTTATAATATTTTTAAAATTTTATATGAAATTTAATATTTAAATAATGACGTCTAAGAAAATAGTGAAATGCACAACTTTTTAGGACGCGGCATGTTATATGTACTGGATTTTGAATGTCCTTGGCTAAAAGTGTGGACGACAATATGGATCGCACCATACCGTGTATTGTATCCCAAGTTGTCGACCGCTACGTCCAGCGATGCACTATATTCTCTTGAATTAAACCCTAGTTTCTTTTAGTCAACAATCTCAAATTTTAGAGGAAGTTCATTTTTATGTTTTTGAAGTTTATGATATATTGCATTATTATATGTGTGATTATTGAACCCTAATGATTTTCATAATGCAATATAGAAGTACCTAGAAGCTAAATATAATTCACTTCTTACATGATTATGTAGCCTTTAATAGACACTACCAACATGCCTATAAACCTTTGCCCCCATAGGCATGATTTTGTATGTTGTTTTTTCCTTAAAAAGGGGCACTTACATACATACCATTCAATTCATATGTATTTACATATCTAACCCTTAAACTTTGCTTTTTAATACATTAAAAAAATAATTATTTTATTCCTTGAAAAATGAAATGCATCTTCCCATACATAAAGAAGTATAGATGTTAGAAATGTGAACATATTACATAACATAAATGTAATTCAATGTATAAACATATAAATATTTCAAAAAAAAACCTTGAGAGACATAATTTAGTTTGTTTAATTGATGAAGAATGATTGGAGTTGCCTCAAAACAAGTACAAAGTCACATGATCGGTTGCTCCGTGCAATTATTTTGGCTAAAATTGTAAAAAATTAGTAGTGGCAGATATGTCCATAAATATCTAGGCTGGAAATGTTGACAACAGCTTGCTATATCGAACCGACAATTGTCCTTTCTGTGTTGATATACCTATCTTTATATGAAAGATTTATACTAAGTTCCAACAATTATAATTATATATATATATATATATATATATATATATAAAAAAATG